ATGGATGGATAGATAGATGGATAGATGGATAGATGGATGGATGGATGGATGGATGGATAGATGGATGGATAGATGGATGGTGAACTATAAATCCCAGCAACTACAACTCCAAATGACAAAATCATTTTTTTGAGTGAAGGACAATTGGGTTGTTAGGTGTCTTGTGTCCAAATTTGGTGTCAACTTGTCCAGTGGTTTCTGAGTTCTGTTAATCCCACAAACGAACATGACATATTTATATAAATTGCTTGTTGGCCTGATAAGTGTATTGTGACCAAATTTGGTGACAATTCACCCAGTGGTTTTTGAGTTATGGTAATCCCACAAACGAACAATACATTTTTATTTATATAGATAGAATCGATAGATAGATGCACCCTTAATTTTAATTGGCAGAGGTGTGAAGTTATGAAGAGGGATTTAGTTTTGTATTGGATTTCTTTTGAGTGTTTTTTATTTTCACTTTGGTGTCTTTGTTGTTTTCAATTAATGAACAACAATTTATAAAAACAGAGGTGGTGGAGAGGCCAGGGAAGGGCTCTCAAGAGCCTCCTCCCACTCCTCCTTCTCCAGCGTGCCACTCTCCCGCCCTCCACTGCTCTTGTGCCTCCTTCCGTGACATGCGCAGTGCGCACTTGCTCCTCCGAACTCGCTTTCCCGTGGTGCACGCGGGGCGCCGCGCCTGCGCAGGAGGCCTGGTCCGGCGGGGAGGGCTGCGCGCTCCCGCGCGGAGATGGCGGTGCGTGGACGCGCGGCGGCGGCGGCGGCAGCAGCAGTAGCGGCCATGGCTGCTGTGGATCGGCGGCTGCCGAATCTCGACGACTTCGCGGGGCAGAGCTGGAGCGCCTGGGTGGAGAGGGCCGGGCCGCCGGCTGCCGAGACAGGTGAGCCCGCCTGCCCCGCTCGGGGACCCCCAGGCGGCGGGTAAGAAGCGGGGGACGCTCCGTCGCCGTTTCTGCTACCGCCGCCGCCGCCGCCGCCGCGCTTCCTCCCTCCCTCCCTCCTGCCGCCTGCCCCGAACAAAGGAGGCGCTGGGTCCTAGCGCCGCCGAGTTCCCTGCCTGCTTGCTGGCTCTTCCCAGGCTTGGGCAAACTTCGGCCCTCCAGGTGTTTTGGACTTCAACTCCCACAATTCCTAACAGCCGTAGGCTGTTAGGAATTATGGGAGTTGAAGTCCAAAACACCTGGAGGGCCGAAGTTTGCCCATGCCTGGTCTTCCCTAAACTAGATTCCCTAGGATGCACATTTAACCCATGCTTACCTCCATCTGTATCCCCATATCTGTGCTTTCTTAACAAATTACCATCGTTTATTAAGCCATATTAATTGCTCCCCCAGCCCCACATCTCATTTCTTCTTTTTTCTGTCTGAAATGGGTATTATACATATGTCTGGATTTTTTTGTTTTGTTTTTAACAGGATTCCTAACATCTTGTAAGTCTTAGGCCTCTTTTACACAGCTGTATAAAATCCACATTTTTTATATATATATAAATTTTATTTTTAGTACATTTGCAATCTATTTCTCTATCATGTTATATTGAAACAGATTATTTTGTTATTTTATGTATTTATTTTTTATGGTATTTTGCTTCTTTCTATTTTATTTTGCTATACTATAATTTTATAATGATGTTAGTCGCCCTGAGTCCCCCTTGGGGAGATGGTGGTGGGGCATAAATAAAGTTTATTATTATATTATATTATATTATATTATATTATATCCCACTTTATCTCCCCTGTCTCCCCATACAGAGACTAAAAAGTGAGTCACAATCAAAAACATTACAACTTAAAATATACAAATATCCAATAATAAAACAGTATATTATTATATATTATTATATGTTATCTGTAGCAATTATATTTAATATATTGCTATTACAATATTATTATATAGTATTATACATTACAACTTAAAATATACAAATATCCAATAATAAAACAGTATATCGTTTTATTATATGTTATCTGTTGCAATTATATTTAATATATTGCTATTACAATGTTATTATTATATAGTATTATACATTACAACTTAAAATATACAGATATCTAATAATAAAGAGGTATATCGTTATATATTATTATCTGCTATCTGTTGCAATTATATTTAATGTATTGCTGTTACTACATTACAATATTATTATATAGTATTATACATTACAACTTAAAATGTACAAATATACCTTAATAAAATGGTAAATAGTTATATATTATTATATATTATCAGTAGCAATTATATTTAATATATTGCTATTACTACATTACAATATTATTATATAGTATTATACATATTAATTAAAATATACAAATATACAATAATAAAATGGTATATCGTTATATATTATATATTTTCAGTAGTAATTATATTTAATACATTATTATTACAATATTACATTATTATTATTATATTGTATTATATTGTATTACATTATAATACTATTATTGTATGTATATAAAATATATTAGCATAGCACAATATTAGTATTATATATTACTATATTGTATTGTACCACTATGCTACAAAATTCTTAGTAATACTACATGTAAAATATAATATATAATTAATATAGTAATATATATTAGTATATTGTATATAGTAATATATATTAGTATATTGTATATAGTAATATATATTAGTATATTGTACTATATTATTATACCACAATATATATAATACACTACCAGTATATTATACTATTAGTATTGTATAGTATATTGAACTGTATCGTAAATTGAACTGGATTATATGGCATTGTGGATTTAGGTAATCCAGGGCCCTTCCACACAGCCCTATATCCCAGAATATCAAGGCAGAAAATCCCACGATATCTGCTTTGAACTGGGTTATCTGAGTCCACATTCAGGTAATGTGGGATTTTCTGCCTTGATATTTGGGGATATAGGGCTGTGTGGAAGGGCCCCGAGTTCAAAGCATATGTTGTGGATTATCTTCCTTGATATTCTGGGTTTTGTGGCTATGTGGAAGGGCCCTCAATCAGGGAAGAGACCTCAAGGGTCGTCCAATCCAACCCCATTTTGCTATGCAGGAAAAACACAATCAAAGTGCTCCTGACAGATGGCCATTCAGCCTCTGCTTTAAAAAACATCTCCGGAGATGGAGACTCCACCACGTTCTTAAACGATCAGGAAGTGCTTCTTCATGTTTATAATAAATAAATAAATAAATAGCTTCATTATATCCTAGGCCCCTTTTACACTGCTATATAATCCAGATTATCAAAGCAGAAAATCTGCATTATCTATTTTGAATCCAGTTCAAAGCAGAGATATTGATTTGGTGTAGAAGGGGCCCTGGTCTCCAGAGCAGTCTTAATCTCGCATGATCCTTGGATTTGTGTCATCTGCCTCCATTTCACCTGTTTCCTTTTTTTCTTTCTGCATTTATTTTTGCAATTTTCTGTAAACAATGTACATCTTTCTGTGCTTTTGAAGTGCCTTTGTGACACTTGTAGACCACAAGCCTTATCTGTCTTTTCTGAATCTTTGGATCTCTTGAAATCCGTGGCTCTTCTAGATCATTTTTTCGGTGGCTACACTTCTTTTTCTGTGCACACCTCCAAAACTCTTGTACTTCCCCTTTAAACTTGAAGCACCTCCATTTTCCTCTTTAAATTCCATCACAGTTTTCTTTTCGAACTCAAGCTGTTCCTTTAAAGTGTGCTTGCTGTGTGGTACATCTAGATGTCCTTCTTTTCAAGTTGTTCCACTTCTATTCATTTCTATCTTGGCCTAGGCCACTGACACAACTGGTCCCCGCCCATCCACCAGCTTTGCATTCCTTACACCTTTAGTTTTGTCTTACCTTTAGTTTTGTGCTGATGACTTGGCCATTGGAATTTCCCATCAACTGGAGTCGCCCATGTTCTTGGGCCAAATGATATATCCTTATTCAATATCTACATACTTCATCCCTGTGCTTTCCACCCCACCTCCTTGCTCAGTTTCCCTCCCATACAGAGTAGGGGTGCATCTACACTGTAGAATTACTGCAGTTTGTCACCACTTTTAAGTGCTGGAGTCCCATGGCTCAGTGCTATGGAATCCTGGGAGTTGTAGTTTGGTGAGGCAGCAGCAGGCTTGGGTAGAGAATGCTAAAGCCTTGTAAAACTACAGCTTCTGTGATTCCATAGCACTGAGCCATAGTAGAGGATGGCCATCTGTCGGGGTGCTTTGATTGCGTGTTCCTGCATGGCAGGGGGGTTGGGTTAGATGGCCCTCGTGGTCTCTTCTGACTCTATGATTCTAGTTAAAGCGATCTCAAACTGCATTATTTCTACAGTGTTGAGTAGATGCATCCTAGATGTTTGAATGAAGAGGGTGAGTGGGGGGAGTATTGGCTCTTTTGCAGTCCCAGAAATAATTTAGGATCACCTAAATGTTTGACTTTCTCAAGTACCGCCTGACAGCAGACTCCGGAAGGGGCGGCGAGACTCAGCGGAGCTGTCCCTGGTGATGCTTTTCATATTGTCAAGTCTCTCCCTTCCCCCTCCATTATCTTCCCATTGCACTTGATATAGTTTAGTGCTTCGTATGCTTCCTGATCTACTTCCAGCTCCAGCAGAGTTTGCATAATGACTCTGGTGTTTTCAGGGATTTAGAAGCAGGTTGTAAATTTCCCGTTGCAAACTGCTTCCTATTGCAATCTAAATGGGTTGTATTATTTATTTGTTGCTTATAGATTTGAAGTCTTAAGCAATTCCGTATAGGGGGAAATCTTGCCCCTTCCTCTTGTGTCAGTGTGGGATTGTTTCTCTCTCTCTCTGTGTCAATCCTGTAAGATGTCGGCAAAACCAGTGTTTCTGTTCCTCATATCAGTGCAAAATACAAAGCAAAAGCCAACTCTTTGGGATTTCTCCCTTCTGTTTTGACGGCGAAACAGTTGATGCATTGTCACAAGTACATCCTGTCTTTGTGAGGGCACCATGTGGTGAGAAATTCAATGAGATGCAAAAGGAGTATAAACAAGGGTTAAATCAGGGGCCTCAAGACTTTGGGAACCAGCTTGGCTACTTGGTTGTACCGTTTAATTTGGAGCCAAATTGGCTCCTAGAACCTTATTTCCAACCTTTTATAGCTTTGGACCTGCATTGTCAGGATCTGGTGGGCATCTCACAAATGCAAGGAGAAGCCCAGGTAGAAAGAATCTGGCTGAAGATTAGCTCTGAAACCCATGTGCCTGATTTCTTGCCTGTGTGTTCGGATTAGATTATAAAACACATCATTCTAGGCAGTGGCTTACACACCCACCGCATAACAAGAAAAGGGTTGTGCTGTAATGAAAATCTTATAAATATTAACAGGTTTCCAGGGCAAGCTATTCTGTTTTGATCATGACACCAGCGATAATTTGGCATCAGGGAGGGTTTGATTTCAGAGCTAGTCCAGGTTTTCGCTGTTTTATCTTGGGATTTGTGGATTTCCTTTTGAAGCCCATCTTAGGGTCTCTCTCTGAAAGTATTAGATCAGTGATACCTATTCTAATGGTGTGCAGAACAGTGCAAGTGTGCTCTCCTATGTGTGCAAATACACATATGGAATTCTGTTGGACTGGAGGTATTTGAATGCTGCCCTTTGAAATTAAAATTGAGTGTTTTGAAGTGCCCACTTTCTATAGGGCTCCAGATAGAGAGTGAAGAAGAGAGAACCCGTGGCCACATCTCTGTAATTTGCAAAGCAATCCGTGGATGGTGCTGTATGCCTGTCATTGTCTTGCAAACACCTCTTGATTGATACAGATTGGCAGACCAATTCTGCTGAAGCAGCAGGCAGTGGAGTCTGAGATTCAGCAAGTCCACTATTATGTTTGCAGAAGCTCAGGAACATCTGCCACGTTTTTACGAGAGCCGGTTCGTAGGGATCCTCATTCTCTTGGCAACTTTAAGAGTGCTCTGAAAGGGATTGTTGTTGATCTACCCCACCCCACCCCCAGTGCTTTTCTAGGATGCTTACTAGGTCACCTTGGGCAAGTCACATACCCGGCCTAACCCTTTTTTCATTGCATTGTTGTGAGGGTGGCAAAAATACACCCCCTCCCAGGCTCAGCTGGAGGAAGAGTGAGATGTAAATGTAATAATACTTGTCACTGCATAATCTATTTCACCTATGCTGTATGCCTTTTTCCCCCTAGCAGTTCAAAGAATGGAAAAAAACAGCCCCTGTCTTGATCTGTTGGTGCTGTCATTTTGTCTTGCTCTGGCTTGCAGATCAGTATTTTAATCTCTGGGCACAATATCTGGCGTAGCAGAAAATGGCAAATTTGGGGAAGTGTAATGTGTGGGTGGGAAGTGGTGTTCTTCAGGTGACAGTTGGTTGATCACATTTCCCATCAGCCCTAGCCAGCATGGCCAGTGGTAAGAGACAGTACACATTCCTCCCCCTTACTTCTGATTTATTTTAAAGGACATTATAGCCATTAACCCAGTGGTTCTCAGCCTGTGGGTTCCCAGATGTTTTGGCCTTCAACTCCCAAAACATCTGGGAACCCACAGGCTGGGATTTCTGGGAGTTGTAGGCCAAAACACCTGGGGAGCCACAGGCTGGGAACCACTGCATAATCCAAAACACGCTTATTCCCTAGGAACTCCTGTTGTGTTCGATGTTGTTCTGTGCTTTCAAGTTAGTTCCGGTTTACAGGGACCCTAAAGCAAGTCTGTTGCAGGTTTTCCTTTGCAAGATTTGGTTAGAGAAGGATTGCCCTCACTCGCTGTTAGGCTGAGAGAGTGTGATTTCCCAAGCTCACCCAGTAGGTTTCCATAACTGGGATTCAAATCCTTGTCTCCCAGAGTCTTGGGGTGCATCTGCATTGTAGAATTAATGCAGTTTGACACCACTTTAACTGCCTCACCATATTGGTGATACGGTGAGCATCAGTACTCTTTGGTGGAGAATGCTAAAGAATTTGCAAAACTACAACTCACATGATTTCACAGCATTGAGCCATGTTATTAAAGTGGCGTCAGACTGGATTTATTATATAGTGCAGATGTTCCCTTAGTTCAATACTCAAATGTTTACACTACGTTGTATTGATTCACCTGTTGTATATTTATAGCTGGCCTGATACCATTCTTTGAGTTTTGGAATAGGGTCATAGGAGATCCCCATTCAGCCAAAGAAATTCACTGGATGACCTAAGACAAGTCACACGCTTTCAACTTTAGCCGAAGACAATGGCAAACCTCCTTGGAACAAATCTCGCCAAGAAAAACCTATGATAAGTTGACATTATGGCTGTCATAAGTCAGAAATAACAAAGACATACATTAACAACAAAAGTATGCTCACTACTATGCAGTAAAGAGAGAATGGTCTGTGTCACTCCCAACTTTGTTCTAAGAAAAGATGGATTCAACTTAAGGTGCCTTGAAATCATGCATCCACATTGGCTTTGGTGGATGATGGCTGTGTAAAATATTTTGATGGGAATTTCCCCCCTATCTATTAGGGTCTGAGTTGGAAGAAAACAACCGGAATGGGAGCAAGAAGCTGGATGCCATGACCCTCATTAAAGAAGGTAAGAATAGTGCAAACCATCTGTTCTTCCCTGACTTTTTGGACTCTTTGCAATGAACTGCTCTGCATTTGTGAATGCTGCATTGAAGAGAGTGTCAGGCTTGGTTGGAATGGTTGTGTCTGCCTGGAGCATGGATCCTTGACTTCTCACAGCAGGCCATCCTTAGTGAAGACTGTCCATTCTTTCTCATACTGTTGTAGAGAAGGCCACTGTTTCTCCTACTCACACAATGGCATGTTGCCTAGCAGTTCTAGTGCAGTGGAGTAAAGTTTAGGGACACATTTTCTGTGGACTCATAGTGGTTGCTGTGATAGTAATATCCAATTTAGTAACTGTATACTCACATATCAATGAGGTTTGTTATTTTATCCCCTTTTAAGGATGGGCCTGGCTATTTCTTACTTGGGCATGCCCATGGTTTGAGGTACAGGGAAGAATACTCACAGAATGTACTTTTTTTTTTTTAAAAAAAGGCGTCTCCTGCCCTGATGTTTTCACACAAATGAGTGGTTAACAACAACCCAAAACAGTTGTGATAAGCAAAACAAATTATAATAAAATCACAACCACATTATCAAAGTAGATATTTTCAGGATGTTTTTATAATGCCAGTTGTGACTTCCTTGGCATATGAATGGGTTTGTCAACCTTACTTTTGGGTTCGGAACAAAACCAGATGCTGTTAATGTGGTTTAGAAATTTTGGATAGCCAAAAGTTGTGCAGTGTGCATGTACACACTTTGCTTTAAGGCAGTGGTTCTCAACCTGTGGGTCCCCAGGTGTTTTGGCTTACAACTCCCAGAAATCCCAGCCACTTTACCAGCTGTTAGGATTTCTGGGAGTTGAAGGTCAAAACATCTGGGGACCCACAGGTTGAGAACTACTGCTGTTGCTCACCATGATTTCTAACTTCTAATCATACCAAGGAGAGAGATCAACAGCCTCTGCCTTTCCTACTATGCCTTGGCCAAAGTTATCTGCCCTGTCATATATATTATCTACATCAGTGCTACTCAAAGTGGTGGCCCATGGACTGCTGCTGGTCCCCAGGCCTTTGACTGCCAGGCCACAGGAAGTTCCCAGGATAGAGAGAAATGGGCACAGCTATGGTGCTAATTTCAATCCCATTAGGATGAAAGATATTGCAACAACCCCCCCCCCCCCCCCCCCCCACAGCAGCCTAAGAAGCACTGACCTAGATCATGACTATCTCTCCAGACAGGAAGTAGACTCAGTGCAAAACAGGCTCACACAACAATAGATCTTTATGACTCATGCAAGTGAGTCAAACTTAAAAAGGAGGGACCCAGATGTTACTGTGAATTATATACTAGAGGAATTCTTTCCTGATCACCAATATCAACTAAGGCCAGGTCACTTGCCAGGGCAACCAAGGGAACATTACAAATGAAAGAATACTAAAAGGGAGTAAGCCTGTATTCTAGTCTTCTCCAACCTGGAGCCCTCCAGATGTGTTAATTACAAGTCCAACCAGGCCCAACAATGGCCAGGTGTTAGGGCTGAATGAGCATCCTATCATAACATATCCGGACAGCAGTGGGTTGGAGGAGGCAGCTGTATTTGCTCTGCTCAACCCAGTTTTTTTCAGTATCAATGATTAGGAAGATTTGCCCAGAGTCACTGTTTAGCCACAAGAGAGCTAAAGGTGCCCCCTCAGTGTATATGTGTTTTCTTAGGGGACTTTTCATTCTTAGAGAGGAGGGAAAAACCCAGGTTCCTCCTTCTCAAAGCTAAGAAGATTCGACTCCTGCAAAAAAGTCAGGACCCGTGATTCTCTGCATGGCGCTTTCCCCTTTTTGTCAAATAAATCAGGCCAGTCTGTAAAACATTCCCATGCCCCCTTCTGCTTTTCTCTTTATAGTGGGACCTTTGGAAATGTGAGCTGCCACCTGTCCTTGCCGAACTCCCAGGCCAGATTTTTCACATGAGCTTCTGTTGTGCTTTTGCACTCCGTACCCTTCCGGCCCTCCAGCAGGCTGCAGTTAGTTGAGCTTTGCTCCTCCCTCCGTTTTGGCAGCTCTCCTCCCCTCCCTGCCCTCCTGCCCTTGGTCTTTTCATTGCTTCCAAGCCCGTCTGTGTCTCTTTGTTTTCCTTTTTGACCCCCCCCCCCCCCAGCAATGCTTGGAAGTGGGGCTGCCTGCTGCCAAAGTTAGTGAGCGGAGGGCAGCATGTGATGACCCTCTCCTTCTCCACCCACAACAGCCAGTTGTTTTGGTCCCTTTCTGTTGTTTAAAGTGAGAACCCACAGTCTTGGGCCTGGCAGGAATTGGCTATCTCTGATCCATGGATCTTGCTGTGAATAGCTCCATTGCTCAGTGGCTGTTCTAGGTGGCCATTGGGAAGGTAAGCATTCATGCTCAATAATTGTGGACATTTTTGTGTACAAAGTTCGATGGTAGAGGATTGGGCTGCCAATTAAGTGAGTCCCACAGTTAAGACCAACATGTTCCCTTTGACTCAGTAACAGAGAATCAGATTTGGTCCCCCAGCATTTTGAGATCTCAGGGAAGTTATTTTTAGGACTACAGCTCCTGGAATGCCTCACCAACATGATATCTGGCCGTGCTGTCTGGGGGATCCTGGAGGTTATAATTCAAAAAAGTACCTTTCAAAATGTGTTGTCGAAGGCTTTCATGGCTGGAATCACTGGGTTGCTGTGAGTTTTCCAGGCTGCATGGCCATGTTCCAGAAGCATTCTCTCCTGACGTTTCACCCACATCTGTGGCAGGCATCCTCAGAGGTTGTGAGGTATATTGGAAACTAAGCAAGGGAGGTTTATATATCTGTGGAAGGTCCAGGATGGGAGAAAGAACTCTTTTCTGTTGGAGGCAAGTGTGAATGTTGCAGTTAATAATCTTGATTAGCACTCTTAACAACCACCATGTCAGACTACACAGAGAAGTCACTGAAATCCACAAACATGTGGACAATTTCAACAGAAAGGAGAGAACCATGAAAATGAACAAAATCTGGCTGGCAGTATTTAAAAAAACCCCAAAATTAGGACAGTAAATAAAGAACAACACTCTGAAAACAGGGGAATTCCAGATATGAAACAGTCAGGGCCAGCTAACATCTCCCAACAAAGGACTCCCCTGGGCAGGAATCAGCCAAGCCTTGAAGTTGCAAGGCTTTGCAATGCTAATCAAAGTTATTAACATTCACACTTGCCTCCAACAGACAAAAATTCTTTCTCTTACCTTGGACCTTCCACAGATACGTAAACCTCACTTGCCTGGTTTCCAACAGACCTCACAATCTCTGAGGATGCCTGCCATAGACGTGGGTGAAGCATCAGGAAAGAATGCTTCTGGATCATGGTCATGCAGGCCGGAAAACTCACAGCAACCTACCTTTCAAAATTTTGAATATTTTTATTGCAGGATGGTGAATAGCCAGATGGGGTGCAGATCATTTGTCTAAACAGATTATCAGGCTTGACTTAATATAGTGACCACTTGTTATTAATGAATACCATAATTCATAATCATCTTCTCCTTGCTCTTGCATCTCTGGGAGTATTTCCAGTTCGGAGCTGGAAATCAGTATCATGCATGCTTTGTGTCACCCCAGCAGCAGCGTCAGAAATACACCTTGTGATCCTCAGCTCCATGTCTCGACTCCTGTTCCTCTTAAATACCTGTTGCCCACAGAGGCTGTATCTTTCATTCCATCTTTGTCTGAAAACCGAGGTTTGATTAAAGTGTGTCTTAGCCTGAAGAACTGCCAGGATTCCAAGGGGCTCCTCCCAGGGCACGCTCTCATCACTCGCATCTCTTGTCCTTTCAGACATGTCTATCTTTGGTCACTGCCCAGCTCATGATGAGTTCTACCTGGTGGTGTGTAACCATTGTGGCCAAGTGGTCAAACCTCAAGCCTTTCAGAAGCATTGCGGTAAGCTAGGCAGCTGTCATGCCGGTTGAATGTCTGTGGCCTCTCAGGGAGAGCTGTGGGTAGGACTGTTTGCTGCTGCCTTGGGCAGTGCCTCTGTGAAAAGGCCCTTTTTCTGTTGTTCATCTCCTAAAAATGCCAGAGGAAGACCTTCCCTTGAATCAGCAAATAAGGAAACTCCCTAAATGTCCCACTGGGGCCATGTAAGCATTGCTTCCCATATTAGTGTCTTGCTACTGTTGTTTTGGAACCAAATACGTGGGAAAATGGTCAGGCCATCCACACCAGATTGGGAAGGCATATGAACTGAGCAACATACTTTTCAAAAGGAGAAGAGCCATAACTCAGTGGCAATGCACATGCTTTCCATGTAGATGCTTCCAAACTGAACTTTGTGGAGAAATTTGGGACCTGGGGCCAAATCTGACCATTCTATGGTCTTACTGATTTTCCTAGAGGACCAATCCTGTTTCGTAAGGTTCATAATTTGGGAAATTCATTGCACTGTATAGTTTTTTCACCATTCTAAAAGTCTGAAATGCCACTCCTAATTTATTTATTTATTTATTTACTTACAGTATTTCTATCCCATCACTTCTCAACCCCCCAAGGGGGACTCAGGACGGCTTACAATGGGCAACATTACGATGCCACTACATAACAATTACAATAATACAACCACAATTTAACATAAGTCATAGTTAAAAACAATACATAAGCCATCATTAAAACCATGAAACAATCTCATCAGCCATATCGCCATTCCAGTCAATGTCCTTCTAAAGTGCTGCTTGCATCTATTGTCCGAAAGCCTGGTCCCAAAACCATGATTTTATTTTCTTCCGGAAAGCCAGGAGGGAGGGAGCCAATCTACTAAGAATAAGCTATCAATTTTGGTTTCAATTTTTTTGCTTTTGGCTTTACCCCTCCTTGGGAAACATCCCTGAAGTTGAATTTGCCCCTTGGGGTGAAAACAGTTCTCCTCCTATACACATTTAAAACTGCAGTTAGATAGGGAATCTCCTTTAGTACTGTTCTATGAATAATTTGTCTGCATCCATACTTTTTCTTTTAGCCCTTGGAGAAAGTCATCATTTCTCTGAGATTATCAGAGTCCATCTGCCTGCTGCTGTTAAAAGAAGCCATTGAGTAGATGCAAGAGGAACAGATAGGCTAGAATCAGACCAGCTACAGTTTGGCCTTTTGGCCAAGTAGATGAACAGGCTGGCATAGTTGTCTCAGGGCATGGTTTAAAGGCAGCCCTGCTGCAGGGCTTGGTTAGTGTCTGGATGGGAATCCCGTACCCACCATCTCACATTCTATTAAAGAGAAACATTGGGAAAGAAGTACATTTTGATTTACCTTATTTTCCACCATTTTTTCTTTTGGGATTTGTCAATCATGACTTGAGAAACAGAATATCAGCACATAATAATAATAATAATAATAATAATAATAATAATAATCTTTATTTGTACCCTGCCACCATCTCCCCGATGGGGACTTGGAGCGGCCTACATGAGGCCAAGCCCAAACAACAAATACAATAAAAATAAAACCAAAACACAACCAAAAACGCAAACAGTAAACAGCAACATCATAATAAAATAAAACATGTAAATACATAGCAATATAAAATTACAATAGACAACAATCACAATGACAATGGGCGGGCTACATATAATGATTAAAAGAGAGACTACCGTATATACTCGAGTATAAGCCGACCCGAATATAAGCTGAGGCACCTAATTTTACCACAAAAAACTGAGAAAACGGATTGACTCGAGTATAAGCCGAGGGTGGGAAATGCAGCAGCTACTGGTAAATTGCAAAATTAAAATAGATACCAATTAAATTACATTAATTAAGGAATCAGCAGGTTATATATTTTTGAATATTTACAAAAATGGTAATTTAAGATAAGACTTAACTCTGATTAAATGATTATTTACCTTCTTCAATGTAAATGTGTTTACATATCCTTCCAATAATAATAGAGTAACATAATAAATGTAATAACAGCAACAGTAATAAAAGAGTAAAATAATGAATGTAGCAATAACAACAATTATACAGTAAAATAATAAATGTATAATAATAGAGTAAAATGATAAATGTAATAATAATAATAAATAGAATAAAATAATAAATAAAAAGAAAATAATAATAATAACAATAACAGAGTAAAATAATAAATAACCTTGACTCAAGTATAAGCCGAGGGGGACTTTTTCAGCCTAAAAAAAGGGCTGAAAAACTAGGCTTATACTCGAGTATATACAGTAATTAAAACTAATTTAAAACTCGGACGAGATAAAAAAGACAGATTATTTGCGGAGGAGAGCTCATTATAGCGGGGGTTGTGGAATCAGACTTTCCCACAGAAGGGGAGACAACATATACTTCACATATCAGTTGTAGCTGTTGGCAGCTGAAGGCAATCCTTTTTCTGAGTGTCCTGACTGTCCCAGTGGGCTCAAGACGTGCACCCTGGCAACATGGTTTTGTATAGCCCAGTGGTTCTCAACCTGTGGGTCCCCAGGTGTTTTGGCCTACATCTCCCAGAAATCCCAGCCAGTTTACCAGCAGTTAGGATTTCTGGGATTTGAAGGCCAAAACATCTGGGGACCCATAGGTTGAGAACCACTGATATAGCCTGTCAGGCCTCTCTAAGTGAGAGGCAAATAGGAGAATGGCTCCTGAATCTGGCAAATGCCTTGGAAAGTGCTTTTTGCACACTGTCTGGCACAGTGCTGGGTTGTACTGTAGAAAGGTTTAATCAGAATGTTATATGGCTTGGTAAACTGGAGAGCTTAGGAGAGTGCTGGAAGAATTGGGAGGTTCTACCTTCTGTACTGGATGCTGCCACTAATTTTTATTAAGTAGGTTTCCCATTGGGAGCTTTTAGACAGACGTGTTAATACATGTGAGGCCTAATTATTGGGGTTAGAGGGAGGCAATGGAATACATACCAAGAAAAAAAAACATTTAAAAATATCTAAAGAGGCTGTAAAAAAGGTCTAAAGAGATCTCTGATTCGCGAGTAGAATAAAATAAAGCAATTGGCCTCTCCCACATAAACTGATCTGACTTGACGTGCTATTTCTCAGAAGTATAAATTAGATTGGGTTTAGGGGTGGAGTTAGGTAGGTCAAACCAGACATCACGTAAATGCTGCTTGCAGTATTTTTGTCCTTACCTAAGTTTTTTTAACACCACAATATTTTTTCCGTAACTGATGAAGGAGGATTGGTTTTTCTAAAACATTTGCAGGTAGCAGGTGTGCAGATGCAGAATGGCGAGGGCTGGCAATGGAACAGAAACATATTTTAAAAGAAGGAACACATTCCCCGATTTCTGGGTTGCTGTTGAAACTCCCCAGTTCTGTTCTCCAAACACTTGCAGCATGGCAACCACCTTAATATCCCTGTGCTGGCTAGCCAGTTGAAAGCCATTTGGTTAACGGTGCCTTTGTCCCCATTTAGAGAGACGGCATGGACCTCTCAACAAACTCTATGGCCGGGCGCAGACCTCCTCAAGTTTACAGAAGTGCCATGCGGTCAATGGACGGTCCCTTGCCAGTGGGGGCCACAGATCCACCAAGACCTGGCAGGAAAAATCCCACAGCTCATTCAGTCAAGCCCAGCACATGCCGGAGAGGACAGACAAGATGCCGAAAGACAACCTTTGGTAAGCAGAGTTAGACTTCTGGAACAAAATGTCTTTCTGAACTAGAATGCAGAGGACCTTCTGGAACTAAGAAGTAACCTGCTTATGCATGAAAGGAAGCAGTCCAGCCTTTTACTGACTGGTGTGGAGGGGCAGAATAAGGGAAATTATCCTTCTTCCACATGGGATCCAACTGGATTCAATCAATTCTTTATGAGATGGTACATCACATCTTCCTGTAATTCTAGAGATGGCATAACACATTTTGTTTTCACTTTTCCTAAACACACATGTGCATTTTCTTTCTTTAAAAAAATCAAAAGGTAAAGGTAGGATTGTATCTTATTTCCAAAAAGAATAAGCACTCCTGGAAAATTCTAAGAGCAGTACTTAAATTTCACACACATACACTTTTTTAAAACATGGGATTCTGGAGGGCTCAAAAATAGCCACTCACGTTCTACAGTCTCATGGAGATCAATGCCCAGGATTTGTGGGTTTGATTGGTTTTGTTTTGCCAATTAGAGGGTAATAGTAATGTGTATCAGAGGTTTCTTTCTTCACCTTTATCTGCTGCTAATGAATGAAGGTGAGGTGGAAACCCATTGTTGTTGGCCTCCATGCATGTGACCATTAATGCCTTCCATTTTCCATGGCTTGATATGTGGCAGTTGTGTCTGAGATTTTCTGCTTCACCCTTATCGGGGTGCAGTTTTCACACGTTTATTGTGCACCAGGCCACCCGCCCATATCGTGGCTTGAATTATGTTATTGCTGTTGGTTTTGATGGTTATTTTATATTTTGTATAATATTGTTTAAAATTGTTGTTATGCACTCTAGTGTGCTATGTTTTAACTCTCTTATTTGAGCTTGACCCCGTGTAAGCCACCCCAAGTCCCTTCAGGGAGATGGAGGTGGGGTATAAAAATAAAGTTGTTATTATTATTATTATTATTATTAGTAGTAGTAGTAGTAGTAGTAGTAGTAGTAATATTTGTATCAGCGACCTGACCCCCTTTGGGTTCCCACATGTACCTTCATTGCAGCTGTGCATGGAGAGGCACCTGGGATATTCCTGAGGTGGAATGTCACGTTGCACTATTAGCCTTTTAAGTATGTCTTTCTCTTGGAATTTTATGAAACCAAACTTAATGCAATGGAATGTCACTTTAACAACAGTTGGCTCAAGAGTGAATTGATGTATTTTTGCAGTACTTCTGACTTGAGGCTCTTTTATTTTCCCCCACAGCTTGTTTGTGCCTGTTGTGAACTTAGAGAAGATCTCTGGTCTTCCGAAGTCAGATGGGGTTGGAGTGAGGGCTTCCTCAAAATCTTCTGACACCACCATCCCCAGACAGTCTTCTGGCAGCTCAAAGGAGATATTGGTCAAGCCTTCCTTAGTAGCATCACCAAAGGAAGCTCTTACGTCAGCCAGAGCAGGTGGCAGCTTGATCATCCCTTCTGAAGGCCTGAGCAGGAAACTGGAGAATCCACCCAGCTTAGGAGAGAAGGAGACCGGGACTGTGAAATCCCTAAAGAAGATGCCACGTGAGTCCTGATTTCATTTTTGATTGACCTTGATTTGGCCTGATCTTGTAGAATTTTGTGCACATTGACCTTTTCTAGACTCTGGAAAAATGGGCCTCTAAGACATTAATGCTCAAACGTACCTCTCCCCAAATTATGAGATGTTTCAAGCTTCAGTGGGGAGAGCCAAGGATTTCTGCTCAGTTAGCCATCAAGAGACCAGAGCAAAATGTTTGCTAGAATTTAGCAGAGTTTGGAGAAGGGGAGTGGGGTTGGATGACTGTTCCAAGAAATCCCAGTGGCCATGCTGTGTAATTCTGGGAGTTCTAGTCCTCTATTCCCAGATCTGCCATGTAGGCAGCAGTTCTGAATCCCTTGACTCTATACTTGGAATATTAGTTGGGGGTTGATTTCCTCTGTAGTTTGACACAAAGTTAGGCAGAAACCCCATGCTTCTGTATACTTTCTTAGTTGTTTAGAGAGGGAACCTAGCTGCCAATGTGATAGTCACACTTGACAATATCACTAGCTTAGGTACCCGGCGGTGCCTGGGTTATTTGAAAAAGGCATTGCTTGTTTTGGGGGTGTTAGGTAATATCATTTAGTTAATTAGTAACACTATTTATTAGGAAATTGCCAAAAGGTGATTTCATTTTTTATGAATGCTCCCATTAGAAAATATATAATGATGTGGGTGAACTACAATTCCCAGAATCATGGATCTGTGTTTGCTGTGTGCCATAGGAAAGGGTAGCAAAGGGTTAAGGGAGAGGCAGTGGGGTCATGCAAATTCCACACAAGGAACCCAGGGATCCCTGCCTGTGGTGGAGGAAACACATCAAATCTAGAGTGAAATTCTCCCCCGAATGAAAGCATTCCTTGGGTGGTGGCCTGTAGTGTTTGGGGAAGATATTGGCAGCATTTGGGCTGCATGTAACTTGCAATGTCAGGTGAAGGAGTGCCTTTGGAGGCTTCTCAGCACTTGGAACTATAGCCTGTTTGTGGTGACAGGAGGCTGTCTGTGTAAGCGGACACCTCCACCACATACACACACACACACACATTTTTCACTTTTATTATGTGTATAGATTGGCACATCTTGTACATGAGGCATCTCTTGTACATCAGCTCACTAGGAACCAAGGATGAGCAATGGAGTGGGCCACATGTGTTTGGACATTCTTAATATTGAACACTGAACTGAAAAGGAGGAGGAATGGGATGTATTCCCCCCACCCCACTGCTCCAAGAAATTTGTAGGGAGTTGTACTCGATATAAAATAGATTATTTTCAAAAAAGACTATCTGAAACTTGAAGCTTTCTCAAACTGGGTTTGGTTTAGCCTCACTTTTTTCTTCCAACCTACCAGTATTTGTCTTCTCAGAGTAGCATTTATTTATTAGTTACGTGTATATCCTTTCCTTCTTTGACTGCAAGGCACCATACATAGCTATTCTCCTCCTCACTTCATCCACAAAACAACCATGTGAAGTAGTTCATGCTGAAAGAGAGTAAATGGTTCAACATCACCTAGATAGTTATGTAGCCAATTGGGAACTTGATCTTGGAACTTCCAAACCTCACTTTTGGTCACAGTTCCAGGCCACAATGGGAAGAATAACCCCCTAAATCTACTTTGTGATCCTGAAAGACACAATTTGGTATGCACACTGCTATATAATATAAAATGCAACAAAAATGCAAAATGGATTTTTCTGGATTACTTATTCCTTTATTTATTCATTTAGCATGCTTATGTATCCTCACTCAGCCCACCAGAGCTGTACATATCTCTAAAATATATTTATTAGTTTGACAAAAAGAGCTGGAATTTCTCCAAACACAATTTGTGAGGCAGGGCTGCCTAAAAGAACAAAAGTGAAGCTGTGAAGGAAGTCGTGTCATCTGCCACAAGATAGCATAAGGAGGATCAACTGAAGTTTTTTTCCTGTCTTTTGTGACTATTTCTGTGTTTGTCTTCACAGGGAAAGAATGTGACTTGAACAAGCAGTGTGGAGTGGTGAATCCTGAAACCAAGAAGGTTTGCACTCGGTTACTGACCTGCAAGGTATGATACTTAGCCACCATATTGGATGGTAAGGATCTAGGACAGTGGTTCTCAACCTGTGGGTCCCCAGGTGTTTTGGCCTACAACTCCCAGAAATCCCAGCCAGATTACCAGATGTTAGGATTTCTGGGAGTTGAAGGCCAAAACATCTGAAGACCCACAGGTTGAGAGTCAATGGTCTGAAAGACACAACTTGGTATGCACACTGCTATATAATATGAAAATGCAACAAAAATGCAAAATTGATTTGTCTGGATTATTCATTCATTCATTCATTCATTCAGCATGCTTACGTATCCCCACTCAGCAACAAAAATGCAAAATGGATTTGTCTCGATTACTTACTTATTTATTTGCTCATGTCCTTCACCTGGCAGGACCTCAGCAAAATTGACTGGCTCCCGTCTCCTTAAGGAAGCTCTTGGAATTATCAGCAAGAAGCTTCTACATCTGGAACCAGAATGTTACAGTGCCAGAAATTATATAGAGAGGTTGTGTAGGCCGTGGCTCTGAAATCTGTAGGGTGTTGTTGTCCAAGGTGCTGAAGCCAATCCCCAAAATAGATTCGCCATTTGAAATAGATAGTTTCCTATTTGGACTGAAAACCAGAGTGGATTTGCTCTTCAGGTGACATGAAGCCAACAACTTCTGCTTGTGGGTTATCTATCCTGTCCCCCTGCTTCATAAAATAAAATCGGAGCTAGAGTGTCATCTAGAATTGTCTGTTCTCTGCCTGAAGATTTACATCCTTTAATAGGAGTACAGTGTGTCAGTCAACGAAAGTCATAGTCCCATTCTCTTCTGCTTTGGGTCAGACCTCACCTGGAATACTGTGTCCAGTTCTGGGCACCACAGTTCAAGAAGGATATTGACAAGCTGGAACATGTTTAGAGATGGGCGACCAGAATGATCAAAGCTTTGGAAGCCAAGCCTTTTGAGGATCAGCTGAGGGAGCTGGATATGTTTCGCTTGGAGAAAAGAAGCCTGAGAGAGCCATGTTTAAATATTTGAAAGGATGTCGTATTGAGAAGCTTGTTTTCTGCTGCTCTGGAGACTGGGACACAAGGAGCAATGGATTCAAATTGAAAGGAAAAAGATCTCACCTAAACAGTACAAAGAACTTTCTGATGATAAGAACTGTTTAGCAGAAAAATATGCTGCCTCCATGGGGTGCGATGGAGTCTCCTCTGGAAGTTTTAAAGCAGAGGCTGGATGGCCATCTGTTGGGAGTGCTTTGATTGTGTTTTCCTGCAAGGAAGAATGGAGTTGTACTGGATGGCTCTTGTTGTCTCATCCAACTCTTTGATTCTATGATCCACGCATGGTAATTGGTTCCATTGTCAAGCTGCCTTTGCCATTGTGAGGTTTCTCCTCATGCTCAGTGAAAATCTATCTTCCTGTAACTTCAGTGCCAATTAAATGTAGGATGGCTCTCTAGGGCAGCAGAGGACAGGTCTTGCTCTGTTCTGCATAATACCCCCATATGCTTCAGCAGCCATTTATTTCCAGCTGTGGATTTGTCTTATGTCCCAGGGTTTAAAATGCTGCAGAGTGTCTGAGCTTAAAAGCAACTCACTGTTGAATAGCATTTGCCAAGGTGCAGCAGTGAAATAAGGTTTTTGCTTGGAACTCAGCCCTTGGGTGTCCCAGAGGCATGTGGTTGAGCCTTGTGGGGGACAGGGTATTGGATTTTATTCTGATCCAGGATCTGGTTTACTGTTATGGTCTCATGAGCCCATGTTGGGGAAGCTGCTTTTGTTCCAATTGCACCCATAGCTTTGCTTTGGGCCTGTGGTATGCTGGAAACGTCCAACTCCTGGCACAGTTGGAGAGAGGGATTGCAGGGATGAGAAAAATCCCATTTTCTTTCTCCATGTGCCCCAAGGGTGGTACAAAATCCCAAGAGCTGAATTGGACTAATTTATTTATTTACCGTATTTCTATCCTGTCACTTCTCAACCCCCGAAGGGGGACTTAGGACGATTATAATTCAACTGCCATCTTGTGTTTTGTTTTATAATGATGGTGAATTAATGTTAAAGTGGCTTAAGTTGTGACATAAGCCAAGAATGTTTTGTACTTCCAAGTCTCAGCTACTCCAGTCATAATGACTAATGATCTGGAACCATGAAAGTTGTAGCCCAAAACCAAAGCTTTCTCTACCCATAGATTTGGTTATAAGCATCTTTGTAAGCCATGCATAGCTCCAGTTCTTTTTAATGAGGCAAGGAGACAGAGTAGGAGACATTCCATGACTATTATGCCTCTTAATCTTTTTCTGAAATGGAAGTCAGCTATCATAAGCAAGTGGATAACGTGTGAAGGTTCTAGTTAGCCAGCTTTAAGGTTACCTTCAGACAGGCATAGGGAACCTGTCGCCTTATAAGTGATATCTAAAGAGCCACACATTGCCTCTCCTTTCTTTTAGGCTCTATGTAGATATATGTTGGGATTTTTACAGTTACGTCTGCAGAGTAAAATGTAAATGAAGCATGGGAACAACATCTCCATTTGAAACAAGCATGATATTTCAGAAAAAAGGGGAGAATTAGTGCCAAACGGGACATTAATAAGCCATTTTTAGACATTTAGTCTAGAAACCATAACACAAGGTGATAAGTAAATTAAGGCATCACGGAAGTTGGATTCAGGACAGCAGGGCGCAAATGTCTTCCCATGGCACCCCTTTCCATAATTTCACAGTATACTTTGGCAGGGGCATTTTTGGGTTTCAATAGCCATCCCATTAGCCAAATGACACTCAAACTCAGTTCTTTGCCCAATAGCCATAGGCAAACCATAGATGTCAAAATAGATATCTAGTTGGATTTGCTAAAAGTGCTATTAGCAAAGTGGCCTCTGTTTTGGCTGCAGACACTTCAAATGAAACATTTTTAAAGCAGTGGGTTGTTGTAGGTTTTTTCAGGTATCCTCACTACCTCTGAGGATGCTTGCCATAGATGCAGGCAAAATGTCAGGAGAGAATGCCTCTAGGACATGGCCATATAGCCCGAAAAAACCTACAACAACCCAGTGATTCTGGCCATGAAAGCCTTCGACAATACATGTTTAAAGCAGCTTTGCACTGTCTTTTAACGTACGTTTTATTACAGGCAAATCTGTTTTAAGATGCCATTTCATTTTGGTATAAGCCAAGGACAAGCAACCAGTGATAATTCAGATGTTGTTCGATGTAGCTTTTATCAGCTCCAGCTCATCTAATCAATATAAGGGATGATGAGAGGCCATCTAACACCATCTGAAGGGCCAGATGTTGTCCATCTGTGCTGTAAGTAGATAATGTGTCACAATGTTTTCTTAGGGGTCTACTTTTCCAGTTTTCTCATGGAGAATTCCTTGTTTGAAAGCCACCTGTATGTGAAAATCAAATCCCTTTTATGAGTGAGTTGTCTTTCCAAATGTAAAGACTTGGCAATGATCTTTCTGTTTCTGCATAATTTCCATGAGTATCTGCATGAGATTCTGCACAGTGCAATGGTTAATATGCTTATTAATTGATGTCTCTTATTTTCTGTCTGTGGCCCAGATCCATTCAGTACATCAGCGTCGTGAGGTGCAAGGCCGTGCCAAGGACTTTGACGTGTTGGTGGCTGAGTTGAAGGCCAGCACCAAGAAAGGGGAGCCCCCCAAAGAGAAGAGCCCAGTGAGGAAGGAGGCGGCCTCTGAGCGTCTCCTGCAGGACTCCTCTTCGCTGTCACAGGCTTCATTGGCCCTACCTAGTGCTTCGCCTTGCCGCATGAAGCAACCATATTCCCACTGTGCACTTTCCAGGTAAAGCATGGCGAGGACATTGACCAGGATGCCTATAATCTACAACTACTTGGCAGATTCCTTGTCTTATTATCAATGCAAACAGCGATTCAAAGAAGAGTGGAGCATCTTTGGTGATTTTCCACAAGTGGGTTTTATCTGTAGATTTTCAGTGTAGTTGCTCCTGTGGGGACTCAGCCCCCAGAGCAAATCTTGGGTACCTTAGGATCCCACACCCCCTTTCCACATGATGCTCGGGGGGTGCAGAGGGTGTGCTCTGCATTGGATGACACCATCCCAGTAGGTGGTACCAAAGTGAGAATCAAAACCATAAGCAGTGTTTGAGCAAAAATGTATCATTTTTTAAATTAAAAGTAGCCTTGTAGTTAGATACAACTACAAGAAAGGTTTTTCCTAAGTCCAGCTTAACATGTTTTCATATATCCATGAAGCTAAAACTGATTTACTTTTCAAACCTTCTCATGTGCATGCACTCTGATTGGAGCTGTCATGATTACCCAGTTACAGTGATGCTTCGAATTACATGGTTTTGTCTGCACCCATTAAAACATGAATGGTTGCTTATGTTGCTGTTGGATTTTTATAGCCATTGAATGGAAAGAAAAACCCAACATTGCCAAGCTATCAATGATTTCAGGTTTTTACTTGTTTGTAAATTTTCTGCTCTACATGCTTTACCCATCCACTCACGATTTTTTAATTGCATCATTTTAATTCCTTTTCTCTGATCAGGTGTTAAAATGGTAATCCATATTTTAGTTGTTTTATTTTAGTGTGGAGGTACAAATTCTGGTCTTAGTGGACAAATATCTGCCACTGATTAAGGAAAATCCATCATCCGAAAGCTCATACTCTTTTGCGTTGTTGAATAATATTAATAATAATAATGTTAGAAGCAATTGGGAAAGCTTACATTATATGAGGATTTAATGATAGAACTGCAGAGACTCTGGCACAAGCCAGTAAAGGTGGACCCAGTGGTGATCGGCACACTGGGTGCAGTGCCTAAAGACCTTGGCCTGCACTTAAAAATAATTGGGACTGACAAAATTATCATCTGTCAGCTGCAAAAGCCACCCTACTCGGATCTGCACGCATTATTCACCGATACATCACACAGTTCTAGACACTTGGGAAGTGTCCGAGGTGTGATCAAATACAAAAGCCAGCATAGTGATCTTGTTTGCTGTGTACATATCTTGTTATGTATCAAACAATAATAATTCTTTATTTATAACCCACCCTATCTCCCCGCAGGGACTCAGGGCGGCTTCCAGCAAAATAAATCACAATGGCAATCATTCAATGCCAAGTATAACATATAACAAGTCAAAAACAAACTCAATAAAATTATAAAAATAAACAGCTTAAATAAACATGTCATAACACATTCCACACACCTTTTCATTTTTTTAGGTCTAGGGATTCCTCAGAGAGTGACCCTGATGATCTGCCTGCCACCTCTGGTGAAGTCGACCACCGGCTTTATCCTTTCCCAGTGCCCAAGAGCACTGGACGGGCCTCAAGCGAAGAGAGTGAAGATGATACAGTGGAGGATTCCCGTAAACTGGATTGCCATTATGCAACACAGTCGCCGCAGCCCCAGGCAGTAAGTAGGAGACCTGTACTGCTCTAGGGACTGTGACCCTTCATGGATCCTCGGAGAAAGATAATGTCTCCAAAAGTTGCTGGGGAAATGTGTTGTGGAAGGCTTTCATGGCCGGAATCTTACTGGGTTGCTGTGAGTTTTCCAGAGTGTATGAATATTCCAGAAGCATTCTTTCCCCACCTTTCTCCCTTCTAGGGTGGGAGAAAGAACAGACAAGAGTTATTTCTCCCACCCTGAACATTCCACAGATATATAAACCCCAGTTGTCTAGTTTCCAACAGACCTCACAACTTCTGAGGATGCCTGCCATCGATGCAGATGAAACATCAGGAAAAATTCTTCTGGGACATGGCCACACAGCCTGGAAAACTCAAAGCAATCCTGCAGGGGGAGCAAATAAAGTTTTGTATTCTTGTGCTCATGAAGCTACCCAGTATGGGTCCATCTCAGTACATCTCTAGCATTGCCATTAGCTGGGGAATTCTGGGAGTAGTAGTCCCAAAAACATAATATTTCCAGGTTTAGGCTCTACTCTAATAGCAGCACTATGAAGAAGAGCTATTCATTCTCAGCTTTCTGATTCCTCTAAGTCATGGGTGTCTAGTCTTTTGGATTCCCTGGGCCATATTGGAATAAGAACAGTAGTCTTGGGCCATATGTAAACTACACAAATACTAACAGTAGCTGGTGAGTAACCAAAAAAAAAAAAAAAAGCCCATGCATCCTTTTTGTGATACTCACCGTCAAAGCTAAACAAAAAATGTCTGTGCATAATTATACTAATTTTGCACTGCCTAATTTGGAGGGTCTTTAAAAATAATCTAGTAATTCTTCTGGCCAAGATGTTTACAATAATAATGCAAATTAAAAATAATACTCCAATACTGGTGAATGTAACATGCTCTGATTACTCCATTCCATTCTGTTGTCGTCCACAAAGTTCACACTTGATAACTGTGCATTTGAGTTACAGAAAAATTACCAAAAATCTTATAATTTTTTAAGAACGTTTACAATTTTGTGTTGGCTATCCTGGGCTGCACCTTAGATGAGTCAGCTCTAAATGGTTATATCAAGAATTGAACCAAGGTCCTTTTGCATGCAAAATGTTGAAACTACCTTGGTTACCCTTGGGGTGTTGCTCAGATCAATAGATGATCTTAGCCTGAGTCAAGTTTGTATGTACTATAGATTTTTGCACGCAGTAGCTGGAGAGATGGATGGATGGAATGAATTTTGTTTTAAAAAAATTAGCAGCATGCCATCCCAATGCAAGACTACAGATATCATTTTAGAGTGGTGGTTTTTTGTTTTGTTTTTTTTTTGAATGCGCAAGATTTTGTATTCTTAATACTTTTCATCCTCATTTCTATTTCCAACTCACCTTCCTATCTCTCCCAGTTCTGCACTTTTGGAAGCAGGTTGGTGAGCCCAGGGTGTTATGTGTTCAGTCGACGGCTGGATCGATTCTGCTCTGCACTCAGTTCTATGCTGGAGAGGCATCTCAGTTCGCACATGTGGAAGTAAGTGAATATGGACTGAAAGATCACCATCGTTTTGCTGAATTGGTAGAAGTCAATGGTATAGCCTCAAGTACACACTAAAATATAGAGTGATTTCACAGTGTCTCCTCTGTGCTGTCTCTCATGTTTGTCCAGAGAAGAGGGAAAAAAACTCCAGAAACATCCAGCAGTAGTGCATACATTCTACTTTCCTTTTGTAGCAAGAAGTAACTGCTGCACTGAACATTTGCAAAGCTGATGTCTCAGCTTGAAAGGGAGGCCTCTTTTGTCACAAATTTATCCTGAAAGCAATCAGCTATCCNGTCGCTTTTGGCAGAGAGAAACAGAAGGATGAGATTTTTACAAAGTTAAGAGCCATCTGGAACTTGGAGTTTTGTTTTTTTTAAATTTGTTTTATTGGTTTTATATTGATAATAAACATATAATAAACATTTAACAAAGTACATGTGTGAGTGACAGACAAGACAGACAAAATAACACTAAACGAAACAAGATATTCGTGCATAACATTGAATTGGCGCCTATACATATCTTTCTTAAACTAGATTGTCTCCCCTGTTTCTCCCCCCTTAATTAAGTACGCTTTCTACTATTTTACTTTCTTACATTTTCGAGAAAGGGTTAATCTTCTTTTCTTCCATTTCTTATATTGGATGTTTATTTCTGCTGTTACGTATCATGTACTATTTCCATCTCTAAATAGTGGAAACAATATGGTGTTTTGAATCTTGGGGTTGAGTTATCGGGGGGGGGGGCAATTTGTGAATCTCAGTTCCACCAACACCCACCACCCTGTAATACCCCTAGTGACATTAAAAGTACTTCCAGGATACTCTGGACAGTTATCTTCATGGTGGGCAGTAGCTTGTCCTTGTTTTATCATGCGTCGGATAGTTAACATCGTTCCCTTGAGATTTCTCTTTATTCCATACTGATATTAATTTCTTTATTGAATCTTTTAATATAGTCTATGAAACTTTTCCAATTAGTTTTAGGTGGTTTGGGTACGTTCTGAGATATTTTGTAGGTTAAGATATCCATATTCATTATGTCCCATACTTTTAACACCCATTGGTCTATTGTGGGGATTTCTCTAGATTTCCAGACCTTCGCTATGACTGTTCTGGCCGCGGTGGTAAAATAGAAAAACAATTTGTCTGAATTTTTATTTTGGAGGGGGTCTATGATTCCCAGTAACATCGCTTCTGGTTTGAGTTTTATTTTTTCCCCCAATATTGTCTGTATCGCTTTATTAACTTCTTGCCAGAAAATTTTTATTTTTCTACATTTCCACCATGTGTGAATATAGCTTCCTTTGTTTCTCCCACATTTCCAACATGTATTTTTGACTTTCCCTTTGCTAAACTTAGATATCCTGTCAGGTGTGTAATACCATCTATAAAATGACTTATACCAGTTTTCTTTCATCTCAGTTGAATATGTGTATTTGATTTTTTGGCGCCAAACCTCTTCCCACTCTGACATATTTATCGGTCTGCCTATATCTCTAGACCACTGGATCATATTTTGTTTGACTTGTTCTGTTTCCGTTGCCCAAGTCAACAATTGTTGATATGTTCTTTTAATCAACTTGGTCTCGACCTTTATTATTTTATCCCAGAAAGTTTCTTGTACCTGGAATCCCTTTTTAGCGTCAATTTTATAATTCTCTAATATTTGTTGGTACTGGAACCAGGAGATAGATTTATCAAGATGTTTAAGTTCTTCCTGGGATTTTAATTTCATTCCTCGAGAATCTTTTTTCAGAAGCTGGGCGTAGGTAAGCCATTTTTCCCTGGGTAGGTCTCTCAGATGTTGGGCTTCATTAGGGGAGAACCAAAGGGGAGTTCTACTATAGAGTCTGTCTTTGTATCTGTCCCAGATTCTTAAAAGTGCGGCTCTACTTGGGTGGTTTTTAAAACACTTCTCCTTTTCTGCTTTGCCTCTCCATAAGTAGCCGTGCCAGCCTTGGCGTAAGTCAAACCCCTCCAGGGTTAGTATTTTGCGTTTGCTCAGGGTCGCCCAATCCTTTATCCACCTTAGTGATGCTGCTTCATAGTAGAGTTGTAAATCGGGGAGAGACAAGCCCCCCCTTTTCTTGTCGTCGATCATATTCTTGTGGTTTATTCGTTGTCTTTTACCTTTCCAAATAAATTTGGAGATTTCTTTTTGCCAGTTGTTAAGGAGGGTTTTTGATTTTAGAACCGGTAGTGATTGAAACAGGAATAAGGCGTCTGGTAGGACATTCATTTTTATTGTGGCAATCCTGCCTAATAAGGAAAGATTTAACGAGTTCCAGGAGTTAATTTTTTTCTTTATTTCTTTCCATTTCTTTTCGTAATTGTTTTTTATTAAATGGGCATTGTTTGTTGCTATTGTTATTCCTAGGTATTTAGTTTCCCCTATTATTTTAATTCCTGAGATGTTCTGTAATTTCTCCTTATTGTTTTTGTTCATGTTTTTAGTTATTATCTGTGTTTTTTCTTTGTTTATTTTAAATCCTGCGACCTCACCAAAGTCCGATA